ACCAGGTCTTATTTTCGGGGACGCCATCCATGGACTAACCTCACTTGCACGCGTCGTCACCGGCCTCCTTCCGGAAGTCCTTCTCCTGCGGCCGGCAAGGCCTTCTTGAAGGCCTCTGCAGCCGATAACTCTGGATCGATCCAGAACTTTGTTATCAGCTCCAGAGGCCTTCAGGAAAGCCTTGCCAGCCTTGCCGGTGGCTGAAGAAATGGGCCGGCAAGGCGGGTGTCAGGGTGTGCGAGGCCTGGCTACAACTGTCCAAAGGTAAGTAGTAGGGCACCTTTAACCACCACCCTGGCTTAATTTTTACCCTGGAGTGGGTGGGAATCTTCATTAGGGCTTATATTGGGCGCACGGGTAAAAAAAAAAAATCAAGCTAGGACTTACTTTCAGGGTAGGTTGTATTTTTGGGGATAGTGCAATTCTGAGAGTTGTAGTTCTACTAGCCAGAGCACAACTCCCAGGATTGTTCTAGGCACGGGAAAGGATCCGCATTTTCCACAAGGAAAAGGTTAAACCGCTAAAACGCTGGCGCCCTTCTGCCAAAACAGGGCAGGCCGAGATCCAACAGGCACAGCCCTTGGGAGGGGGGGCAAAGGCAGGGGGTCACCCCATTCCAGAAGCCCAGATCGGATCAGCGTGGTTAAAATGGCTTCCTCAATCAGAGAGACATCCTGATCCCTCCCCCCCCCCAAAAAAAATTATACTTTCCACCAGGAGGGAGAATCGCCGGAGCAGGCGCGTGGCCTTCACCCCACCAACCTCGATGTCCAGATAGATTCGCTCACCAGCATGTTGGCGGACATGGAGAACGCCCAGCAGCGCCGGAGCGAACGAGCCGTGAGGAAGCTGAGGGATGGGAGGACGAGACGAGGCCGGGGGGCGGGCGGGGGGGGCGCCCAGAAAAAATCCTTTACTTGGGACCCTGATTGTTTTACCCGTTTTTTGCAGAACACGGAATCTGCACCGTATCCACCTCTGCAGCCTGGTGCCCCCAAACTCAGCCCGGCTTCGGCTACTTACAAGCCCACCCTCTCGGGCGGCTTTGTGGCCCCCAAGCCGGATGCCAAGACCCTGCCTTACGGAGGCCCACCAGGCTCTGGATCCCCTTACCCAGCCACCCCAGTGCTTCCCTGCCAGTACGGCTCACCCGGCTTGGGAGATGTCTACGGATACCATCGTGCCCCATTGGCACCCAAGCCGTACCCCCAGCCAATGCCCGCCTCATACGCCACGGCGTCCTCCTCAGCTGGGCCCCCCTTCAATGTCCAGGTGAAAGTGGCCAAGCCGGTGGTGGGCTACAACCAGCCCAGGCGCAGGGCCGAGCCGGCGTATGGGCCCCCGTCCCCGCAAGTAGGATACGGGGTGAAACCTCCCCCGCAATATGCCACCGAACCGGGGTCCCGTCCGCGCCCCCATGAGGCCGAGCCTTGGTACCCGGAGCCTCCCTCCTATGGCCAGCAGCTGGGCGAGGGGGAATTCTATGCCGGCCCTGCAGGGCAGGGCAGGTTGGCGCCGGCGGGGCAGTTCCAGTCTGGATTGGCGAAAGCTGGGAAGGACGAGTTGACAGCGCCGCTGGTTCCTGCTGGCAGTGGGGGGCTGAGGTTCCCCCATCAGGTAACTCTAGCTGCTGGGGATAATGGGAAAGGGGAAGGCAGGGTAGGGGTCTTTCTCGGGGAAGGGGGCTTCCATCCAGGAATGGAATGCAGGAGGGAAAGAATGAATGCTAGAGAAATTCAGCTTGTGTATGAGAATGAGGCTGAGGACAACTCCTCCTCAACAGTTCCCAGAGTCTATGTTTTGTGCGGCAAGTAAAGGTAGTTCTTGACTTATTGAGCCCAACATTTCTACTGTCAAGCAAGATGGTTGTTAAATGAGTTTTGCCCCTTTGTACAACCTTCCTCGCTGCCGTTCTTAAGTGGATCCCTGCTGTTGTTAAGTGAGTCGCTTGGTTGTTAAGCAAATCTGGCTTCCCCATTGGCTTGGCTCATTGGAAGCTTGGAAAAGGGGAATCCCGCAACCCCCGGAAGCCCAACCTGTCGTAAATACGAGTCCGTTGCCAAGCGCCTGAACGTTGATCACATGCCCATGGGATGCTGCCATGGTCGTAAGTGCGAAAAACAGTCAAAAGTCACTGTTTTTGGGGCCATTGTAATTTTGAGTGGTCACTAAATGGTTGGAAGTTACCTGTATAGGAGGCCCAGTGGCTTAAATTCCTGAGGAATTTGTTGGTGGAAAACCGGATTGCACTTGGCCCATGCTCAGGAGCCGTGCCTGCATCCTCATTTTTTATCACATTTAACCCGGGGGGGGTGTTTGGGGGGGAATGTTTCGTGCTTCTCAGTTGCCCAGCTTAGTGACCGCCATTCTCCCATCCTCCCCTCTCTTTCCCACAGCCTCCCATGTGCCGCCCAGAAGAGGAGCTGGACCGTCTGACCAAGAAATTGATGTACGACTTGAACAATCCTCCCACCGCAGAATATTTTGGTGGGTTTCTCGGAGCCTTTAAAAATTTAGCGATTGAAAACAAAAAAAAACACCAAAAAGTTCGTCTTTTTTTAACGGAGCCTCTAGGTGCAAGAGCAGTCTATCTCGAAATGCTATCGCTGGGCAGAATAGCCACGCGGGAAGCTCCTCTTGGGTTGTTTTCAGAGGAAACTTGGATCTTTTCGACTCAACATTGGGGTTTTTTTTGGGGGGGGGGGGTGCAGGTCTGGGCTGATACCGGTTCGCAATCGAGCATCGCACTTCTCTCCTTGACCCTTGCAGGCCGCTGCGCTCAGTGCGGGGAGAACGTGGTGGGCGACGGGACGGGCTGCGTGGCCATGGACCAGGTCTTCCACGTCGAGTGCTTCACCTGTGCTACCTGCCGGTGCCGCCTGCGGGGACAGCCGTTCTACGCCATTGACCGCCGGTCGTACTGTGAATCCTGCTATATTGTGAGTTGATGGGGTAGAGGGGGTGTTTCAAAAAAATCCTCATTTTGGGTTCTCTCATTCTGTTGTTGTTTTTTTTCCCAAACTTAGCCTCTTGTTTTAAGATGGGTGGACTTCAACTCCCAGAATTCCGCCTGCCAGGCAGGGGGAATTCTGGGAGTTTTTGAAGTCTACCGGTCTTCATACAAGTTTGAAAAACATGGCTCTAATTTCTGGGAGTTGGGCTCCCCCTGGTGTCGTCATGTGAAAACGCAGCTTCCTGTTCATGAAATGGACGAGTCTCTTCTGGTGTCAGAATAAAGCTGGAAGGGACTTTGGAGGTCTTCTAGTCCAACCCCGTGCTTCTCTAGTAGAGCAGGGTTGTTGTTTTTTTAGGCGACTCGAGCAAGCGATCCAAGCCGCAGGCACCAAAAGTCCTGCAGAATCCTGCCATCTGCCAAATCGGCCATGGCTTTACTCGCAGAGGCTTGAACCCAGGGATAAAAACAACGGCAAGAGAGTGTGGAAAGAGGGTTCTTTTATAATTTTATTTTATTTTTTAAAAATCTGATTTTTCTGACTTGAACCGCCCCCCCCCGCCTGCCACCCTCTCCGGCCCAGGTGACCCTGGAGAAATGTTCAATGTGCTCCAAGCCCATCATGGATCGGATCCTGCGGGCCATGGGCAAAGCTTACCATCCCCAGTGCTTCACCTGTGTGGTTTGCCACCGCTGCCTTGATGGGATCCCCTTCACCGTGGATGCCACCAGCCAGATCCACTGCATTGAAGATTTCCACCGGTGAGATTTGGGGGAGAAATGTGTGTGTGTGTGTGTGTGTTCCTTTGGGGCTATCTTTTAGGATCCCAAAAAGAGATCCTTGGATTCAAAGACCGTAGTACGACTCTTGTCCTCCGGTGCTGCGGTCGTAGGGAGGCAGTACCACAAGTCCCATCCTCCCCCAGCTAGCAAGGCGGGAGAAGCGGGGGGATCCCGGTGCCCCAAAATCCCCGGAAGCGGGCAGGGCCCAACACCCCGACTCCCCCCCCCCCCCCCCCCCAGGAAATTTGCCCCCCGGTGTTCTGTGTGCGGTGAGGCCATCATGCCTGAACCAGGCCAGGAGGAGACGGTGCGCATCGTGGCCCTGGACCGCAGCTTCCACATCAACTGCTACAAGTGCGAGGTGAGCCACGGCAGGTGGGGGGGCGGCAGGGAGGCTGCTGTCGGGACCCCCGTGAGCATGGACAGAGTGGACAATGGGTGGAGCTGGACTTGTGGGTGTGCTTTGCGACGGAGGTTGTTAAGGAAAGGCATTTGCGTGGGATGGTGGAAGGTCGCCTACTAAAGTAGGGGGTTGGACTAGATGACCTCTGAGGTCCCTTCCAGCCCTGGGATTCTGTGATGTCTCTCTCTGTTTTTCTGCCTGCCTGCTTGCCTATCATCTCTCTACCTACCTACCTACCTATCAACTCTCCCTCTCTATCTATATCTAACTATATCTATCCATTCATCTATCCATCCATCCTTATCTCTCTCAGTCTGTCTGTCTATCCATCTCTTTTCTCTCTCTTTCCCTATGCATTATATCTGTCATCTTATCTCTATCCATCTATTTATATCACACATCTGTCTCTCCATCTCTCCATCCATCTCTCCAGCTGTCTCTATATCCATCTATCATCTGTTTGTCATCTATATATATCTATCCATCTATCCATGTATCCCTCTCTCCCTACCTATCTATCTTTAGATATCTATTCTAATTATCTATATCTAACTATATCTTATATCTATCAATCATCCTTGTAGATCTATTTATTCTATCTATCTAATCTATGTTTCTGTCTCTCTCTCTCTTCTATTTAATCTATCTTTATATATCTATTTATTCTACTTACCTTTATCTAATTTATCTTTGTCTGTCTGTCTCTCTTCTATTTAATCTATGTCCATCTATCATTATCTCTGTCTGTCTATCCACCTAACCAAGTCTATTGCCTATTTCTCTATGCATTATATATATGCATCATCTATATCTACCTATCTATCCATCCATCCTTCCATCCATCTATCCCTGCATTATATCATCTATGTATCCATCTATCTATATCACACGTCTGTCAGTTTATCCATCCCTCCATCTTCCCATCCTCCTATCTAGCTATCTCTGTCCGGTCGCTCTCTATCCATCTATATTTACCTATATCTATCCATCCATCCTTTCTTTCTTTCTCTTTTATCTCTTTTTTCTTTCTTTCTCTCTTTTCTTTCTCTTTCTTTCTCTCTTTCTCTTTTATCTCTTTTATCTCTTTCTTTCTTTCTTTCTTTCTTTCTTTCTTTCTTTCTTTCTTTCTTTCTTTCTTTCTTTCTTTCTTTCTTTCTTTCTTTCTTTCCTTTCCTTTCCTTTCCTTTCCTTTCCTTTCC